CTTGACTGTAGACTCCACCTTGACTATGAACTACCCTTTGAACCTTTACTGTAAACGCCACCTTTATTGTAAATTACCCGCTGACTGTAGAATCCACCTTGACTATGAACTATATCCCTTTAACCTTGACTGTAGACTCCACCTTGACCATGAACTACCCCTTGAACCTTGACTGTAGACTCCATCTTGACTATGAACTACCCCTTGAACCTTGACTGTAAACTCCACCTTTATTGTGAACTATCTGCTGACTGTAGACTCCACCTTGACTATGAACTACCCCTTGAACCTTGACTGTAGACTCCATCTTGACTATGAACTACCCCTTGAACCTTGACTGTAAACTCCACCTTGACTATGAACTACCCTTTGAACCTTTACTGTAAATGCCACCTTTATTGTAAAGTACCCGCTGACTGTAGACTCCACCTTGACTATGAACTATATCCCTTTAACCTTGACTGTAGACTCCACCTTGACCATGAACTACCCCTTGAACCTTGACTGTAGATTCCATCTTGACTATGACCTACCCCTTAAACCTTGACTGTAGACTCCACCTTGACTATGAACTTCCCCTGACTGTAGACTCCACCTTGACTATGAACTACCCTTTGAACCTTTACTGTAAACTCCACCTTTATTGTGAATACCCGCTGACTGTAGACTCCACCTTGACTACGAACTATCCCTTGAACCTTGACTGTAGACTCCACCTTGACTATGACTACCCCATGAACCTTGACTGTAGACTCCACCTTAATTATGAACTTCCCCTGACTGTAGACTCCATAGACTCCACCTTGACTATGAACTACCCCTTGAACCTTGACTGTAGACTCCACCTTGACTATGAACTTCCTCTGACTGTAGACTCCACCTTGACTATGAATAACCTCCTTTCTGTGAGGGGTCTCTTTTGTCCCAACACCTATTGCAACACAAGACCTCAATGCATGCTGTCTCATCCAAAGGAGCAGTCTCCACGTCCAACAGTGGGATTTGAAACCACAACATAAGAACCAACCTCTTACTTTGCAACTCTAGAAAATTTCTATCCACTGCACCATGCATGTGACAGCACATCAATTTAGAAGATCCATAAACTGACTTAAAAAAACTTAAATTGTTGCCAAAAAACAAGAAAATGGTATCCCTAGGACCATCAAAATAATTGGTCTAGTATCTGTCTGCTACCAATTTATCATAATTATCATGAAACTATCAACAATAAAATATACTTAACATGCATTTCATACTCTGTACTATGCCTCTCATACTGGCCTATCTTGGCCTTTGAAGAACATTAAAAAAGGTATTTTTTGCTCATTATTAATTATCTATTTTTTACAAGTCTACCTATCATTAAAACAATGAAAGTTCTTTTTGTGTAATAAAAAAGTGTTCTTGTAGAGTTCTCTTGTTCTGTAAACCTTTCAAATACATGTATATTATTGTTCCCGCCTTTGCAAAAGTGGGGGGGGCAATATAAATCTCATCTGTCTGTACTTCTGTCAATCTGTAGTTTTGTCCATCACAAAAACTTTCAATTTGGTCATAATAGTAAGATTCTCAGCCAATCTTGGTCTTTCAGTCAGATTATGTAACCTAATTAGCATCTGAAACTTGTACAGCTTTTCATTCATGGCTGATATATAGATTTCGGCAAACGTCAACAAGTTTAGAGATAATACAATGAAAGTTTGTTGTACAGCAAGTGGTGGGGCTTAGTCACATTTGGTGATGTGCCATATACCCTGGAACTAAAAGTGAGAGCCTGCCAGGGATCATCCTGGGTTGGGGTCTTTAGACCTTTAAGAAGGGAGGAATGTGGCAGTCAGCCCAGTTCGATCGCCAGTGGCCGGATAGCTCAGTTGGTTATTTGAGACCTGACTGGAGATTCAGGGGGCCACGGTTTGAATCCCAGTCTGGTCTTCATTGTTTTTCTCTCTCCCATGAAAGGAAAAGATCCGAAGGGGACAGCAGATCATTAGAGTGAAATCACTCCTACTCTCAGCATAGCTCTAAAAATACTCATTTTCTTATACTTGTATTGTCTTCACTTTTTTATAGAATAATGTTTAACAAAAAGTATAATAAATGTTAGTAGAGTAAGAAAAAAATGTATGTTAAGAGAAATTTTATTTGATCAAGCCGTTCAATTGAATTTCAGGTTAAAATGTAATTTCTCGAATATCTTAAACAATTGTCAATCTGTCATTAAACACTTACAACATGTGTACAAACTAATGAATTATTTGGATTTTATAGTAATTTATAATGGATTTCAAATTTGATTTAAGGTGGTAAAAAATAGATAGGTCAATTTTTTTCCCCAAATTCAATTTCTCTGATACTTTAATCTTTTGCTCTAGGATACAAAACCTCTTCCATATATGATATGAAAGAAATTCAATCACACATTTTTTTCCACATAGTTTGAAATATGGCCTGTAAGAAAGTTGTTAAAATCAGACATTCAACGTTTTTCAACATTATCAATTAATTTATTGAAAACTTGCATGATGCTGTTTATAAAGACATTATTGTCACTGGTACTTGAATTCAATAGGTTTAGTTATAATGATACTGGTAAATTTGAATAAGATATGTAAAAATAGAGCATACATATAAGTGTCAGAATTGAAAATAATTCACAAGTAACTATGCTACACACAAAGTTATCTCACAAGAAATTGTATAATTCAATTTTTACAAAAAATTAACAGAATGATTCTAATGGGTCCCAGAATAAATTGTGTCAAAATAAGGAAACTTGAACTGATAGTTTTAGATATTTCATCACAATATTTTTTCTTTAACTTTTTATCTTTAACCTCTTGATATGACATTGACCTTTACAGTACATTAAACATCTCGTAATATATGTGTCCAAATATCAGCCCTCTACTATACAAGGAACATAAGTTACACTGCATTTCGTAACAGACTTACAGTCTGTACTGCATTTAAACAGCATTAAGCGATTCTAAAATGTAAGCTACCAAGTGACCAATACATGTATTTAGAATTCTCTGATTTTTTCCCCACAAAATATGATGTCAATTTTTGCTTGCTTAAGTAGCGCATAAAATATCTACCAAACTAAGTGATTTTGTCTTCAAATACTGGGCAAGTTCTTATAATTGAGAGTTGTCTTACTGGTAGCTTGTCTAGCATTGTAGTGCATATGCAAGATGTTTTTTTTTTCACTTTACTATCTGGTTTCATCTCTATGTATGATACATAATTTTATATTGTGTGTGGACTCTAGACACTGATAGATGTTTGAAGTTATAAATCTAAGTTTATCATCACTGTAATGAAAATGAACTGTCTATCCCAACATTAACAATATTTCAGTGACATTGCATCTTACTGAACGGTGTGTCGATTTACCCAAATGGAGCCAAAGGTGACTCAAATGGACTTCTGTAGACTTTATATCAAAACTAAAATGCATCTATATATATAAAAAAAATTATTTAGTTTTGCATTTAGATATTTATATTGTTGAATATTCAGAATAATGGCTATTGAAATAAATGTGTTTTATGTTTATGACAAACATTCAAATTATTGTATAAAAAAAAACTTACTTTATTCATGACATTTAAGCAAATTATTTTAAAATATACAAGTTTACCAATCAGAAAATTTCACAAATTTATTCTTTTTTAGTAAATCAGTCACGCAGCAACAGGGGGCCGGGGGCTTGCCCCCCCCCCCCCCCCCAACTATTTTCAAGACATAACTTTTAGTTTTACTGTATTAAAAATGTTCATTGAAAGCCGGGTGTTAGCAACACGATTGAAAGCCCCCCTCCCACCACACATACTTTCAAAAAAAAAGATGCTAAATCACTATAAATGATATTACTATTTTTATCATAATTAAGTCCCTTTGGTTAAATCGACGCATCTTACTGAATGTCACCTATCATGGATCATCATTGAACATATAATGAATCAATGTGAACAGAACTCATCTAACCAAAAACTATATGTATGATGAAAATTGATTGAAAACTGCTCAGTTTTTAATTTATGACAGAGAATGTTAACACCTAAACATTCATAGGGAAAATCCACATTAGTCTTTGTGTACAATAAAAAAAACTTTTCAGCATTATAGACACATTAAAACCACAATAAATAGAGGAAATTCGCGTCGCAACTTTATTTGAAGAATTCTATACTGGTTGCAAGTGGCCAGACCATAATTTAACCTTACTTGTGTCTTGCATTACATTTATCGACGAAACAAACGATAATTATTTTTATTTTATCTTGTTACAATACTGTCTTACTTACAATAGATCGGTTTTGATTGCGAGTTTACTAATCATAATTTGTTCTCTCGACTGACTCGAGTGCAAACAGCTGATTAAGTTGGATGCCGATCTCGATGTTTAAAAACATTAAACAGTTTATAGTACACTTCTGCTGTCGCTTTCTTTTCCCAAATAGTTTTTTTTTCAGTCAATGAAAAAAATATTTAATTAAATTAGTCATATATTGCCCTTCTTCTTATGTAATTTTAGAGATGAAGTATCATATGAAAGCCCAGATCAGATGCCGATCGCGATGCAATAGCGTCGAATGTCAAACACTTATTTTTCAAGATTTTTTCTGAAAATATTCAAAAAACCAGAATTCTTTAACAGTCTTGGAACCTTATTAATTCGATTTTACTTCATTTTAATCACTAATTGCGTCTTTATAAGGCGATTACAACTTTCTCTGGGTCTAATTATACGAGTGCTGAATTGCAAGGCTACCGCTTTTTTTTAGAGCGACACTGAGCACTAGCGACAGTTTTCACTGGTACACCCAGTCAATATTATCAATAATTTATTTGCAATATAAAACAGGATCTTTTATGCTTAGTTTTTGTCAGTTTCAATGTGATTGCACATTTTTTGATGATGACGATAACACATAAGACCTACATAAAAATTAAACAGATAAAAAATATAATATCCGAGCCCGACTTTGATGTGTAGCTCTTCAGTGTTTAAAGTTAGAAATGTCCTTGGGAATTACGACGCTATGAATGAAAAACAGCTCAATCGCATTCTCCAAGAAGGTGATATAAATGCTATTGAAAAAGAGCTAAAAAGTGGTCTGGATGTTGATTTTACTTTTCAAGAATTGTATGCGAATAGTGACAATAATGGCTACGCCCTGCTTGACGTTGCAGTGGCTGCTCGACAAAAAGAAGTTGTCCAGTTTCTTGTGGACAGGGGTGCAAATGTCAATAGAATGCGTAAATGGCCTGGGGCTACAAAGGAACTCATCAATTCCTTCTCTCTGCAGAACACGTGTATGTACCCTTGTTTAGTCCGTGGGGACGTAGAAATCGCAAACATCCTCGTGAAAGCAGGATTTGACGTGAATTTACAAGACATTCGACAGTGTTCTTCACTTTGGCACGCGGCTGATTCTGGAAATTGTAAACTGGTAGACGTTATTTTAAGTTCACCCACTGTGAACGTCAATTTACCTGATATGACCTTTTTACACCCACTGCACGTGGCTGCTCTTCACGGACACAGTAAAATCATCTCATCTCTTCTCAGAAAAGGAGCTAATGCTAACGCAATTCACGTGTTTGGAAATACTCCTCTTATCTTGGCCTGTAAGACCAATTGTTACGAGTCTGTACATCAGTTGCTTCTTTATGGAGCAGATGTAAATGCCGCAAACATCTATGGTGTGACACCGCTATCTAAATTTTTGCACAATCCGTCAACACTTCAAGATTTACGAATATTTGGCTTACTTTTGAAAGCAGGTGCTTTGGTCTTTGACTGCGAGTTAAAAGAATGGAAGCAGCAGGAAGATTTACAGATTTTCTCAGATTATCCACAGATTTATGAGACTCTAATTCTTATGTCATCTAGTCCTTCATCTTTGAAGACTCTAACGTGTAAATTCATTCGATTTAGAGTTTTGCAATGTTTAAAAGATTCACCAGGTGATATATTTTCAAAAATTGATCAATTGCAACTACCATCTATTCTTAAGAAAGAATTATTGCTAGAGTTTTGAAAACCGATTTCTCGAGACTCACGATTCAAAGTTTAAGAATACTAGTAGTTTGTTCTACATTAATGACTTTGTCCTGCATGAAAGGGAAGTAAATATCATCTTCGTATATTCAAATTAATCAATTTATGACGTCTATGTTTGAAAAAAAAAATCGATTGCTGAAAAAATATTAATAATGAGGAAGTCTATTATAAGATTTTTCTTATTACAAGCTAAATCATTGTTTCAAGCCACGGTTCGGAGTTCACTCATAGCTCTCAGTACATGGGATGCGATCGTACATTTTGGCCGTGGTTTGCGACGAGGAAGCTTAGTAAAAAATTTTAAAGGATTATTATTTAATATTTTCATTTACATCTTGTTAAGCTTTATATCAACAATTTCGTTTATATGACGAGTTTTAACAGATTTTTTGGTATAAATCAGAGTTTAAAAAAATGATTTGTAAAGAAAAATGACACTTTTAACCAATGCAATTTTAAGATACTTAATGTTATTGAATGAGAAAAAAAAACTATAATGGCATATAAAACATTTTGTTATCTTTTTATTTCTTACAGTAATATCAATTAAAAGTATGAAAATTCAAGATATTTAATTATTCCTTCGGAATCCCTCCTCAAGCGGCTGGCTCTGGTCTGGTCTAGTTTTTTTGCGAAAAATACATTTATCTTCATCATTAATGCGGATTATTAACTGTGTTTATGGAAATACATGTAGCACCTACACATACTTTTAGTGCATTTACACTTACACGTAATATGTAGTCGAAATGAATAAAAATTCTAAGTGACTTATTCATTCATTTTGAATTATTTTTCATAAAATAAATGAGAGATCGAGAACTATTTAGTCGCCTCTCATTGAGAGGGTGAGAATTTTTGATTTTTTTTTTAAAATAGGTCTTCTACTAAGGGGGTGGTGTTGAATTTGCCATAATTCAATGACAACAGATGAACATCTTGTAAATATTTGAGGCAATATATATAACACATATCCTTCCATTGAAGTGTAACATAAAAACCCGTATCACTAGCTTTTCGTGATTCTATTCTTGAAAACGGGAGAATCCTATTTCCTAGTTTTAGAATGATATTTATGTATTGCTTACAGTGGTTACAGATGAAGATTCTCGTACACGAAACATTCATTAAGCATGTTTATATATTAATAACTAAATATACGATTTTAAGATAGTTGGTTTATTTACTTAAGTTTTTTTATAGGCTAGGTACGTGTTACAACCAAGGGAGAGTTCAATAAGATAGTGGATTTTTTTAAGATTGATAATGCTAGATATGCAATTGAATTTTCAGGCTTTGTCGGTGAATGTTTTTTAAGAGCTTTATTTAAAATGCGTGAATTTTCTTTCACACACGTTTTCACATTTCAAAATTACTTCCACAATAAATATATACACTCACATATATATTTTTACAATAATGGTGTCACTGGAAAAAGTTCAGACAATGTACAGTCAAGTCATTGGAATGTTAAGCAGTTTATATATTATAGACGTATACCAGAACGCAAGTTTGCAGAGCTCATAGTGAGACAGCGAAATGAGATAACAGAATATTTTACCTCCCAGTAACATAAACTTTCCATTGCGTATTTATAAATAGAAATCTATAAAAAGATGGCTTTTCCCAGATTTATTTTGGTGATGCATTTTTCCGTCGATCCTTCGGCCTAAGCAAATATACATTCTTTTATTTATTATTATCATTTATATATTTATTTTTTGGAATAAGTACATTTATAGGTTAATTATATGGATGTCATTTTTTGCAATAATTCGAAATATTGAAATACTTTAAGGTGAACCCAAATGACTGCATGAAGGGTTTTGCACATCAAATACTGTAAATTCTTTATTTTTCGCGAGTACTTTTTATCGCGAACTGGGTCTTTCACGTCAAATCGCGATAATTATAATTCGCGAAGGGACGGTTGATCAACAGAATTTACATAGATTTCAGCACCATAAAAATAAAAGCGAGTAATATTTTTTCGCGAGTGACGCTTCTCGCGACATCACGCGGAAATTAATTCCTCGCGTATAATTTGGAATCTACAGTATATGAGAAAAAGCCACATGACACTTGTTTAATATATTTATTACCCCCCCCCCCCAATCCTTTTATTATAGAAAGTTTTGATAGAAAGGTAGGTTGCAGGCATTTAATTTTTCGTTGCAGCAAAGTCAAAAACAGATGATGGGGTTATGCAGTATAATGTGTGAAAAAAATTCGGTCGCGAAAAAAGTTGCATGGAACCTAACACCCCCACCCCTCTCAAAGAGAAAGATTCTGGAAATGGACAATTTAGTTTTTTTTTATTTCTAACACCCTTTTTAAAAAGGACTGCGAACCTGATGTATTATAGGCTGAAATTTAGCAAATGATGATTTTAAAAACAGGAGATCTTTCAGTGGATTAGCCTAGCTCCTGCAGAGCCCCCACGAGGCCATGCTCTGGACCCGAGTGGGTCTTAATTAAGGTGTTCCCCCAGATCACTAGCCTGATTTGTGTGGACTGTACAAACATGTATATATGTTAGCCCATGAATACATTTTTTGCATTATATTATATGTTACATACAACATCCATGCTATTCAAAATTCATAATTCACATGTATATTCCCCAGATTTTGCCAAGTGATCTTTTCGTACTTAACCTATAAAAGTGCGACCTTCACATCAGTCATATCGTAACTACACATGTACCTACCACGAAGCGCGGACAGTTATTTATTGCAGCTTTCTAGGTGGGTCGATCTGGCCGGGGTTTTCCTCCGTGTTGGCTATATATAAATCTTAAGAGGACGAGGTTCACGGGAATTCTTCAAGTTATTCACTTTGGGTGCAATATTGAAATAATCTGAAAGCGCGGTCGACAATTTTGGTAAGTTTTCCTTCTTTTTGTTTTCTATTCCTATTGCTTTCTAGATAAGACTAGACAATACATTATCAGACTTTTTAACTATGGTATGCGCCATTGTTGTTATAGTATGGGTAAGAAAGCTGAAAATTTTACTAAGATTTTTTTGTTTACACTGTGTGTCAAAAATTTTTCAGATGCATGATGTGGTGTGGTGTAATTGAATGCATAATATGCTACTTATATTTATGTTCAACATGCATTTATCATACCCGTACAATTTTTGTTTGTGATTAACACTTTTAAAAAGACACGATGTGTAGAGTTACTCCTATTTTGGAGGAGAGGGGTTATACAGTTCAAAAGTTTTTTTAAACGAGGATCAAACACTAAGGTCAAGGTCAAAATGTTAAATCTTTTTACACACCAAAAGGTATTAATTGTCTCAAAGAATACAAATATAAGTATGAAAGTATTTTCACCAACTGTGTTAAATGATTTTCAAAATGGGATATATTTTGGCAAAAGTGGGTCAAACTTCAAACTCAAGGTCAGTTTATGGATAAAAATTCATATCCTAAAAAATAAGTAAAAATCTGTGCGGATAGAAATAACCACTTTATATATAAACATGGTTCGAGTCATCTAAAATGATCCATATATATTTCCATTTCTAATTTTTTTTCTCTGTGATAACTGTTTGAAAGTTGTGGGAATTTATTTCTTGATAATTCTGCCGGAATGTAAATTAGGCAGGTCGATAGGTCAGAAGCTAAGGAGGCCTAATACGCATGCAAATCTCGTGCGCATCTGTCTCTGTGTCTGACGCTAAGGAGGCCAAATATGCATGAAAATCTCGTGCGGCTGCCTTTGTGTTTGACGTCAGTGTGCGAGGACTATTGAAATTGGCATTGAAGTCCTCGTGTAATTAAATCTATTAGTCTACATTTTTAATGTCTAAGTCTACAATTTTATTTCACAATAAAATTGAAATATAAGGAATCACTGTCTAGTTTTGAGAGTATGCCAGGGACATCAACAATAGTGGGAAACATGGGATAATTTTAGCATAACGGGCTTCGCCCGTTATGCAAATTATCCCATGTTTCCCACTATTGTTGATGCCCTGGCATACTCTCAAAACTAGACAGTGATTCCTTAAATATATATATATATATATATATATATATATATATATATATATATATTTTCGAATGAAGAGTATATTATACCGGTATGGTATGCCAGAGTACATCAATAAACCAGAAGTCTCTGTCGAGACTGTAGCTCTACTGGTTTGTACTTATAACAAAGGATGAGAAAAGAAGCCATTGCCATCAGACCAAAACTGTAGAAGGAGAAGCGTTAAAAAGGATTTCACAGAAATTTCTGCTTTGAGTAACCATGGCAACACCGTTTATCAAAATCAAAAACCGAGGCACTAATTTATGGATCTTAGTGTAGTCTACTTGTGTGCCAAGTAATATTGAATCAGATGAAAACTGTAGAAAGAGAAGCGTTTAAAGGAATTTCACAGAAAATTCTATTTTTAGTAACCAAGGCAACACCGTTCATTAAAATCAAAAACCAATGCACTATTCTATGTATCTTAGTGTAGTCTACTTGTGTGCCAAGTAATATTGAAATCAGACCAAATCTGTGGAAGAAGTAGCATTTTGAAGGAATTTTACAGAAAATTCTATTTTTAGTAACCATGGCAACACCGTTCATCAAAATCAAAAAACCGATGCACTTTATCATGTATTTAAGAAATAAGGTATCATTTCTTGAGTTTTATTGAGATGTAAAACGGGTTGGTCACGTGATCAAACCCCATAAAGCCCGAAGGACATCTCAATAAAACTCAAGAAATGATACCTTATTACTTATATTTACATTTGTGACTTATTAATTCATACTTTATATTTGCCTGATTGTTACTTTATACGTGTGAAATGCGTTTTTTTTTCAAACCCAACGGCATGTATGTTATCCACTAAACGCGCGTTGACCCTTTATGACCTCACAGAGAAATTACGTCGAACGTTTATCCAAACGCACATCTATGACCTCTTGACCCCGTACCTGTATTTATACAGTTATAAAAACGCTTGTCT